TCTCCACGCGGTGTTGCAAGGCTTGGTCAGACGTCGGTCCAGGGGCAACGGTCCCAAAGAGATCGATCAGTCCGTCGCGGCATGCGGGTGTCTCAGCGGCAGCAGGCGCGACGTGGCCCACAGCATCATCAGGGAATGACGTGGCTCGCCGCGGTCTTATTGGGTCCAGATGCTCGAGAGGCCAGTTCAGCAGGCGCTCCATCTCCTCGAGTCGTACCCTGAGACGGCCAGAAAGGTGAAGGATAGGGCGCAGCGCGCAGCAGAAATTCAAAGCGTGGGTTGTTGAGCCGTCGTCGCTGAGAGTCTACATATAACCTGGGACCGGGTCCGGGGGCGGGGGGCCCGCGCCACGACCGCAAATGTGGGGCCCGGGCGTCGTTTTTCCAGTGTTTCTAGATTGTTTCGGCGACCCGGGGCCAACGGGGCCCCAAGAGGCTGCAGGGAGGCCCCAGGAGGCCGCAGCGATGGCTCCAGACGCCTTTCAAGACGACTCCCACGACGCCAAAAAGGCCCCCGAAGGCCCCGAAAACGCTCCAAGAGGCACCCGGGTAGAGGCTCAATAATCCAGAATCGTTGATGTCCTAAGGGAGAATTGCTATTTTTGGCATTTTTGCTTTTTGGGCGTCCACTGCGTCCAAGACGGCCCAAGAGGCACCCAAGATTGCCCCACAGGCTCCTAGGAGGGTTCCAAGACGACCCTAAGAGGGTCCCAAGACAGCCCGAGAGGCCCCCAAGACAGCCCAAGAAAGCCCCAAGACGAGCCTCAGAGGGTTCCCAGAGGTGCACAGCCATATTCAAATTCTGAGCTTTCGGCTCCAGAGGCTCCCAGGAGGCCCCAAGAGGTCCCCTGGAGGCCCCGAGAGGCCCCCCCGAGGCCCCAAGAGGCCCCCAAGATACCTCCAGGATGCTCCCAAGAGGCACCCCAATAGAGCCCCAAGAGAGCAAACATCGTAGATTGCATGTAGGAAAACTGATATTTTTGGCGTGTGCGCCTTTTGGGCTTCCACTGCGTCCAAGGCGGCCCAAGAGGCACCCAAGACGGTCGAGGATGCCCCCAAGAGGGCTCCAACACGGCCCACGAGGGGGCCAAGACGGCCCACGATACGCCTAAACCGCTCAACAACGCCCCAAGTCGGCGCCCAAGACGGGGACGAAGAACCGAAAATGCCCCCAGGAGACCCCAAGAGGCTCCAAGAAGCGCCCAAGAAACCCCAAGAGGCCCCCAAGAGACCCGCAAAAACACAAAAAGAGTCCCCGAACACGCCCCAAGGGTCACTCCAACCAAGAACAGCCCAAGAGAGCTGCGAGAGCCGTCCCGAGAGAGTCCAAAGAGGGTCAAATCGTTGATGTCCCATTGTTTTTCTAATCTTTTTCGCCTTCTCACGTTTTCCCGCTTCCAACCCTCGAAGATCGAGTATTTTGAGAAAAGGGAATTCCCAGAATCCCTTTTTCTTCAAAGTGGGACTCCTACTCGGGGGTCCTGTACATCCCCTGACATCTGGCCGGTACCGCGCCTCCCGGCTTCCCGGGGGGAGGCCCCAAGTCGCCGAAGGACAGCCCATGACGACCCCAAGGAGCCCCCAGAGCGTAAATAACGGCCCAACACGCTCCCGCGCAGCCCGCGACACCCTCCCGACGGCTCTCCAGGCCTCCAGGAGGCCTCCAGAACGCCCAGGGGGTCCGGAAGATCCCACACCTCTGAGGGGCCCGGTCAACAGAACCCGCGACGCACAAACAAAAAACAGCGCCGAACAGCGCCGAGGAATTGAAAAAACATCGAAATCCCACAAATCCTGTTTTTGTTTCAAGTTTGGCCCCCGGTCTAATCTAGCACAATAGATCACAATTCAGACTTTCTTCACCGCCCAAAACAGAACCCAGGAAGCCGTTGAGGTCCCCAAATCGTTGAATTCCTTAAAGGAAATTAATGATTTCTGCGTTTCCGCGTTTCTCCGTCTATACGTCCCCGAGGCTTGCGCAGGGCCTCTAAGGGAGTCCCTGGGCGCAAGAAGCGACCCAAATGATATGACATGCGTAAGCCTATCAAGTGCAGCTAGAACTTGAGCGCGCGCGAAGCGCGCGCGATGGTTCTAGTGCTTGCATAGATATCTGAAGCCTCAGCCGCTTCTTCCCGACGAGGTCTTGGACGCTGCCTATGTAGCATGCCATCCAGAAGACACTACGGGTTGCAAACAGAAGGTTTATCCGAAGTTGTGAGCTTCCCAAGGCCATCGACAGGTCCACCGCGGCCGGCGTATTTCGGAAAGTCGAGGTGGCGGCCATGGAGGAGCCGACGGAGGCGATTCCTGCAGCTGGGCGGAGAACTGCATGCGAATTTTGCCACTGAGGCCTCCGGCGGAGCTCCCTCTGGGGCCACGAACTGTGTGAGGGGTGTGCCGACATGGGTGGGGAACCATATGCGAATTTTGCCATTGGGGTCTTCGGTGGACTTCCCTATGGAGCCACGAGCGGTGAGAGGGTTATGCCGAAATGGGCAATGAACCGCACGCGAACTTTGCCAGTGCGGCCGTCGGTGGAGCTCCCTATAGGGCCACGAGCCGTATGAGGGGTGTGCTGAAATAGACATGTGGAGGGCAAAGGCGCGCATGGGAGGAGGGAGGAAGGAGAGGAGGATGCGGAGGGCAGAGGCATGCATGGGAGGAGGGGGGAGGGGGAGGATGAGGAGGAGAGGAGGAGGAGGAGGTCGCGGGGCGCTGTCTCTTCAAAACGAGGACACAACATCACATGATGGTTGGGATAACATATCGTTTAACGATGTGTGTGTTTCAAAAACGGTGCTCGCTTCGCAACAAGAATTTTCAACACCACAGGAAAATGCGCCCGCGCTCTTGCGAATTCATAAGGAAACCGCCGGGTTTCAATCTGTTTATGACATGCTACCAAACGGGCCTCTCGCGCGCGCATGTCGGAATCGCAAGCGTGCTGTAATCCCTTGCAACAAACAGGACGACGTGCGCACGCGCGCGTCGTCGCGCGGGATTGCAAATCGAATGGCCCGAAACATGTCATCGTTTTGCAACATCAGTTTTCAAACAAGCCCTGCGTTCGCGGTCTTCAGAATTCTTCAGAACACCACCGTTTGTTCAACATTGCCATCACATTTTGCCAAACGGGCCACTCGCGCCGCATGTCGGAATCATTCGAACGCCCTTGCGCGCGTGCCAGGGGGAGGGGGCGCGATCCGTGTCCAACCATACAATGCGGTCCAAATTCGCACGTCGTCCGCGCGCCCATGCCGAACTCTTTCCTCAACCTACATCACCGACGCGAGGACGCCGTCATCGTCGCCGGCGTGATCAGCATCGGCGCCGTCACTGGCCGTGCCGTCGTCGTTGCCAGCATATTCGCCAGCATCGCTACTATCATCGTCGCAATTTACCTTTGTCGACGTTGACATGATTCCGCGCCCGCCCACGTCGCCGACTCGCACCGAAGTGCCCGCTGGGAAATGCCCAGCGGTCAGCTCCACTGCGGTTCCGTCGGTCGCGCCACACGAGCTCACAGGTGCGTGCGCGAGCATGCGCGCAAAGGCGGCCGCGGCGATGCGCCACCCAGCGCCGAACATGCCACCCATGCGCCACCCAGCGCCGTCGCGACCGCCGCCGCATGGGATTTTGCAAACCAAATTATTGCGGGTGGATGGGTGGGATGTTTGCGCGAGCAGTGGCATTGACAAACTCAGATTCAACATGTTCAGGAACACCACTTAGATTTCACCGCCGCGTGTGCACAATTTATTTTGCACCGCGTATATTGCACGACTTAGAGTGTGCAACGTAGCTTGCACCACGTATATTGAACCTCATAATGTGCACCACGTGGGTTGCACAGCGTAGATTGCACCACGAAGAGGACATAACATATATTGCGCCACGTGGATTGCACCACGTAGATGGTACAGCCTATATATAAACATACATATATATGTACACATGCATATATATATAGTGCACCACGTACATTGCACAACATAGACTGGTAGAAACACTGTTTCGGGCGCGCGCGCCGGCTAACATGTCGGACTATAATTGTTCTAGTGCGTCCCGTGGCTTTCAGCGCACCCGACGATTCTGAACCATTGGCGATGTTAGGGGTGGGAGGAGTGGGAGCAGGGAAATGGGGGGATGAGGATGAGGATGAGGAGGAAGAGGAAGAGGAAGAGAAAGAGAAGGAGAAAAACGAGAAATATGAGGAAGACGAAAACACACAAGGGGACGGTGATGACGAGGGCGAGTGATGATAATGATGTTGATGATGTTGACGATGATGCTGATGTTGTTGATGATCATGGTTATGATCATGGTGTGGTGGTGATGGCGATCGACGATGACGGTGTTGTTGATGATGATAGTGATGGTGATGATGATGGTGATGATGATGATGTTGATGGCGATGATGAAGGTGATGCTGATGATGTTGATGATGATGCTGATGACGCTGATTATGATGATTATGATCGTAGTGTGGTGATGGTGATGGCGATAGACGGTGGTGGTGCTGTTGATGATGATTATGTTGGTGGTGATGATGGTGAGGATGATGCTTGTGATTATGATGATGATGCTGATGATGATGACTATGAGTATGTAGTATGATGATGCTGCTGATGATGCTGATGATGATGATGATGATGATGCAGATGAGGGTGATGATGATGCTGATTATAATGATGATGATGATGTTGTTGTTGATGATGCTGGTGATGGTGATGGTGACGATGATGCTGATGATGAACATGATGATGATGATGATGATGATGATGATGATGATGATGATATGATGAATATGATGAAGATGAAGATGATGATGATGATGATGATGATGATGATGATGATGATGATGATGATGATGATGGTGGTGATGATGATGATGATGATGATGATGATGATGATGATGATGATCCCAGCGCAACTGAGAAGGTCTGGGAACCCCTCGACCAGCCTTGCTGCCGTGGCCCCTCCGCCTCCGCAACGGCCAAGGAACTGGCCGCAGAGGGTCCAGAGGCGAGGGCGAAGCCGAAGCCCTCAGCCGTGGACGTGGATGACGTGGACGATTCGACTGCGCTGCGCTCAGCGTGTCCGGGAGGGGAGAGGAGCGAGGAGGCGGAAAAAGCGGTAGTGCGGCGCCATCGTTGTCTTTACGCCCGAGATCTTTCTCTGCGTCCTGTCAAGCACCTTCCGCTCCTCTCTGATATCTTCATCCTTTCCCTCCTCCGCGCCTTCATTCTTGTCGTTGTCTCCCCTTTTCCTCCTCGTCTTTTCCTTCTCTGTCGCCATTCCTCCTCCTTCTCCTCCTCCTCCTCCTCCTCTTCCACCCTCTTGCCATTACCACGCGTGATAGTGTGCAGCACTATGGAGATGTTCTATGGGATGGCCTCATGGCGGCCGTCCTCCAGGCCCTCTTCGAGGACGGTGCTCAACAAGCGGCCAAAGCGCGCCCATGGGTCTCGTGCAGGGATCCTGTGGCCGCGCTGCAGATCACGTGCCAACGTGTGGGTTGGAGGATGGCGGGTCCGACTGTGTTGGTTGATGATTTTGGGGTGGAGTGGGATTTGCGGTTCTATTCGCCAGCCTGCATGGCTGACCAGATCGAGCATGCGGCGCGCCGTGCCTCGGACGTGCGCGCGCTTAGTTTGCAGGACAGGGATGGGCGCGCCTGATTTTTTGGCGGCCCAGTCTTGAGAATGTGTTTGGAGATTGGCAGGCGGGCTGGGAGCATCACCAACAGTCCGCTCTCAGAGGCTTAGTTGCAGGCACGTTTTGGTCGCAAGGACGGTTGCGCGATCACGACGCATCTGTTCCTGCGCTTTGCCAGCTTTGTCATGCAGAGGGAGAGGCTCGTTGCACTACAGGTGCTTTAGGTGCCCCGCGCATGAGGCCTGGAGGAGGGATACCATGTCTGAGGAGTTGGCACAGGCTGCCAACGTTGTTGCCTAGGCCCCGCCCTTTTGGGGTGGGCGCTTTGCCAGGGGTATCTTTTCAGAGCCAGGTGTATGTGTCTAGGCCCGAGTGTGACCCTGGTTGGGGTCTACGAGGCACAGGCATTGAGCTTCCGATTCTGTTGGAGGGGGGATTTGTGTTCACGGACGGGTCGGGTGTGAATGCTCGGCTTTCCACCCTCAGAACGACAGGCTGGTCTTGTGTCGTCTACTCGGCCAGTCGAGAGTATCTGGGAGCTATATATGGAGTAGTGCCGCCCGAACTCGTCACGACCCACACGGCGCGTGACGGTGAGGATTATGCCATGCTCATGGTTTCCCGGCATGTTGTTGGTACCTTCTGTGTGCTCGCAGAGTGCAAAGCCATTTTTGGCTGCTGCATGTGCCAGCAGAGAGCCACGTCTGTTGCCGACCCTCGGGGCCACCTGTGGCTACGGTCCATTCGAGAGGGGATTTTTCTGCGCTTACTTTCAAGCATGTGAAAAGCCACTGTTCCATGGAACAGGTCAGAGAAGGTATACTGTCGCAGTTCGAGCTTGAAGGCAATGCCAAGGCGGATCAGTTCGCCAAGCTTGGGGTCAGCTACGGAGTGTCTGCTGATAGAGATGTTCTGTTCCCCGAAGGCTGTCTAGACACGGCGTCCTAGGCGGTCAGATGTGCGGCAATATTGGCAACTCGTATTGTCAACGAGAGTTTGCAGGACCATCGGGGCCTCGCTTCGATTCGTTTGATCGACTTGGGACCCGTCGGCCCTGTTGTGGCCCCTACCCCCCAGGCCAGTCCCGAGGCCCCGTTCCGTGCCCCTGGTCCTCCCCTTGCTCCTTTGGTGCACGGCTGGGAAAGGGGAGGTGGCTGAGGAGGCGGAGGACGAAGTTGGCACTCGACTGCCGTGGCAGCTGAACGGTCACTCGATCCTGGAGGCAGGTGTCCCGGGGTCCGAACCACTATTTCCCAACCATCCTGTGGTGTTGGGTCCTCGTTTTGAAGAGACAGCGCCCGCGTCCTCCCGCTGCCCCCCTCCTTCTCCCCATCATCAGCATCCCCATCATCAGCATCACCGTCACCATCATCATCGTCATCATCATATCATCATCATCATCATCATCATCATCATCATCATCATCATCATCATCATCATCATCATCATCATCAGCATCAGCATCAGCATCAGCATCATCATCATCATCATCATCATCATCATCATCATCATCATCATCATTATCATCATCATCATCAGCATCATCATCATCATCATCACCACCACCACCATCATCATCATCATCATCATCATCATCACCATCACCATCACCATCACCATCACCATCACCATCATCATCATTTCGGCACACCCCTCACGCAGTTCGTGGCCCCATAGTGAGCTCCACCGAAGGCCCCACTAGCTGCGTTCGCATGCGTCACCGCCACCCATTACGGCACACCCCTCACACGGTTCGTGACCCCATAGGGAGTTCCATCGAAGGCCCCAGTGGGTGCGGTTGCATGCGTCCCCGCAACTCATTACGGCACACCCCTCACACGCTTCGTGGCCCCAGAGGGAGCTCCACCGAAGGTCCCAGTGGGTGCGGTTGCATGCGTCACCGCCACAGTACGGCACACCCCTAACACGGTGCGTGGCCCCATACGGAGCTCCACCGAATGCCTCAGTGGGTTCAGTTGCATGCGTGACCCCCACACATTACGGCACACCCCTCACACGGTTCGTGGCCCCATAGGGAGTCCACCGAAGGCCCCAGTGGGTGCGGTTGCATGCGTCCCCGCCGCTCATTACGGCACACTCCTCACACGTTTCGTGGCCCCACAAGGAGCTCCACTGAAGGCCCCAGTGGGTGCGATTGCATGCGTCATCGCCGCCCATTACGGCACACCCCTCACACGGTTCGTGGCCCCATACGGAGCTCCACCGAAGGCACCGGTGCGGTTGCATGCGTCATAGCCACCCATTATTGCACACCCCTCGCACGGCTCGTGGCCCCATAGGGAGCTCCACCGAAGGCTCCAGTGGGTGCGGTTGCATGCGTCACCGCCACCCAGGACGGCAAAACACTCACATGGTTCGTGGCCCCATACGGAGTCCCACCGAAGGCCCCAGTTGGTGCGGTTGCATGCGTCACCGCCATACAGTCAATGCGCATAGTAAGGACGCGCGCCTTTTCCAGGGTACCCTTGTGTCCTTGCCTCGGCGGCCCGTCCTTTGCCGTTTCCACTGGCCAGCCTCTCAGGCCGCCGCCCAACAAATCCCAAACCTCGGCCTCCAAGGGTCTTGCGTCCTTACCACGTGTCCTTACTACACGCTTCCACTGTACATTACGGCACACCCCTCACACGGTTCGTGGCCCCATAGGGAGCTCCACCGAAGGCCCCAGTGGGTGCTGTTGCATGCGTCACCGCCACCCATTACGGCACACCCTTCACATGGTTCGTGGTCCCATAGGGAGCTCCACCGAAGGCCCCAGTGGGTGCGGTTGCATGCGCCACCGCCACCCATTACGACACACCCCTCACACGTTTCGTGGCCCCATAGGGAGTTCCACCAAAGGCCCCAGTGGGTGCGGTTGCATGCGTCACCGCCACTCATTACGGCATACCCCTCAAACGGCCCGCCACGCAATGCGGCACACCCCTCATGCGGTTCGTGGCCCCAAAGGGATCGCTACCGAAGAAGATGCTCACACACTTGCGGTACCCACAACTGCATATGGTTGGATCCGTCGCCAGGCTACTTGTTTGCACCACTTGCTATAAGTATGCTGTGCGCTGCAAGCAGAGGGGTCTCTCCAGCGCGTGCTTCGGCCCTCGGCGTGTGAAGGGTGGGTCCCCGTACGCCGTCCGAAAGCGCCTGAGGGACCTCATCCACCCCGCGGACCCTGGTGTTTCCGTAGCCATGCCCCAGGGCCCTTCTGTAGCCACCCGAGGGAAGTGGGCGGCGCATTTTGGTGCGGCGGCAGAGGAGTCCAGGCCGCCGTGTCGCCTTGGCTCTTTTTCGGGCCTTCGAGCCCCCGTGAGGCCGAGTGGAGTTTGTGCTCAAAGCGTTCGGTTTCGAGTCCAGAGTTTTGGCTGCAGAGCTTGGGCGAAGGGCCGCCGAGGCCCGCGCGTCAGCCCAAGCTCGCAGAGCAACGCAGCGCGAGGAAGGGGGCCTCGACTAGCGTTGGGAGGGGTGGGGTGCCTTGTCGGCTGGCCCCAGGACCGTGGGGATGGAACCCTTGGCTGGGTGCCAAAAAGGTCACCGTCGATGGGCGCCCCACCCCGTTTTTCCTTTTCTCCCCCCCTGGATTCCTTCCCTGTATGGGCGTCGAACATCCTCTTCTCTTCGCTACATGTTCTCCCTCCTTCTGATGTATCCGTCCCCATCACCCTCATCCTTCTTTATCTCCCTTCTCCGCCACACTATCGATTATGTTTTAATGTAATGCTCCTAAGGGGGCAGACACCGCCGCCCCACTTTTTTCCGAAACCCAGAGTTTCCTTACGGGTGGGTCATGGCGACCCCAGAGGGTCCAGAAAGGCTCGGAAGGCGGCGGAAGAGGTTGGCAAGAGGCTCCGAAGACGCATTTCTGGAGGCGTGGTGAAGGAGGAGGGGAGTTAAACATATTCCAGATTGCGTCAGGGGCGGGGATCAAAGGCGGCCCCAGAGGGTCTCCAGAATCCCCACTGAACTTGCGCATCAGAGGGCGATATGGGGGGTCTGAGACGGCCCTGTTCCACCTTGGTGCGGAGTTTGGGCGAGGGGGCGAAGACGGCCCCAGAGGGTCGAAAAGGACGCGGAGAAGGATCCAACAAGGCCACGAAGGGGCCCGAGCAGTCGCTTGCTCATTCCGCCGGCCTAGACTATTCCTTCGCGGGCGTTTGCCCGCATGTTTGGTACCACTGCGGCGCTGATGGTTGGTGGTAGTGTCTTTGAAGTGCTGTGTGAGCAGTCATGGGCGTCCTGGGTCAGCAGGCTTGAACGGTCTGTTTACGTCCTCCTTTTGGGTCCCTCGTGGGCATCCCTTGAGGCCCTCTCGGGCCGTCTTGGGAGCGTCTTAGGGGCTCATTGGGGCATTGTTGGCAGATGCCTGCGTGCTCGCGGGGGCATTTTTGGAGCTTAGTGGGGCCTCTTGGGGGCATCCTGGGGGCCTCTTAGGGCCCCTTGGGGGGTCTCGGGGGCCTCTGGGGGCCTCTTGGGGCCTCTTGGGGCCTTCCGGCAATCTCGGAGGCAATCGTTGGCGGAAGGGCTCGAAATCTCAGTTCGGGCTCTCTCCTCCTCCGACCCTCGGAGGATGTGCTTTTTTGGGGGGAGGCTGCTGGGGCCGTCTTGGAGTCCTCTTGGCCGTATTGTTGCCCTCCTGCGGGCTTTGGCCTGAATCGTGGCAGTCGTGGGTGCTGGATCAGCCGCCTTGAGCGGTCGGAAGAGTGAAAAGGCGGTAACGCCCTAATTTTTCAAGCGCGCAACCAACATCCATGAATCTGGGCCTACTGGGTGTTTCTTGGAGCTGTATTCGACCATTCGGAGGCTATCCTGAAGCATTTTGGAGAGCGTATGAAGGCCATCGTGGAACCTGCCACCCAGGGATCACAACTCGAGTGTCCTCTTGGAGCTCCCTTGAGGTCTCTCTGGGCGCTCCTGAGGCGCTCTTGGGGACACTGAAGACCGCCCCCGGGACTTCCAGCATTCAGGACACTGACCGCCCAGGCACCGTCCAGGGACCGCTCGAGGTATTTTTCGCGCTGGGACCTCCCGGGGTCCGCCACGCGCGCGCGCGAACTAGAACACTCGAAACCTATTACAGGAGATTTTAGCATGCTTCTGGCCCGTTGGGGCGGCCAATGGTTGCAGCATCATGCATCTTGCTCGTTTTCCGTTCCTTTCCTCCTCTCCTTCCTCATCGTTTTCGCACCCTGCCTATACTGTCCTCATGGTTGCTCCTGTCCTCCTGCTGCTACTGATCCTCACCTGCGTCCTCTTCTTGGCTGGCGCGTCTCCCCGCGTGATGGCTTCCACCCTGTCCTTAGGCCTGGAAGATCGACGGGACCGGCAAAGGCCTCCGCGGCAACAGGAGGAGGAGGAGGAGGAGGAGGAGGTCGGGAAGATGGGAAAGAGGAGACCCTCGAGTGCGCGAAGTTGCTTGCGTTTCGCGCTTCGCGGTTCTGTTCCGATTCCTCCTCATTATTTTCTTCTCCTTTGGGGAGCGGCGCGAGAGCGAGAAGTTATTCGCGTTGCGCGCAGCGCGAAGCGCGACGGTAGGCGTCCTTGGTCAGAACGAGCAGGAGGATATAAGAAGGAGGAGGATGAGGAGGAGAAAGAGGAGAAAGAGGAGGAAGAGGAGGAGGAGGAGAAACAAGAGGAGGTGGAGGAGGAAGAGGAGAGGGAGGAGGAGGAGGAGGAGGAGGAGGAGGAGGAGGAGGAGGAGGAGGACTTGAAGTGATATGGCTTAAGGGGCGCGTCAACCTCATGTGGTATGGCCTGTGGCCATCTCCACCCCAGGGTTGACAGGAGGTCCTGCGCCAGAGCAGGCCACCCCAGGGGTGACAGGAAGAACTGGACCTTCCCAGCGCCCAACAACTTCTCGCTGGATCGAGGGAAGACGCGTGTCAGACCTAAGTGTCCAATGTAATTTGCTGTGCTGCATCGCACGGCACGCGCACCCCATGCGCGCGATCCCTTCAGCCGAAATGGCTTCAACAGTTTCAACGCCGGTTTGGGCGCAAACTGCTTTAACAGTTTTAACGCTTGCTGCGCCGCATCGTCTCCGTGACATTTGCAGAGCCTTTCGTGGCGTGGGGGGGATAGCGGATGGGACGGTACGCTTAAAATCTGGGTAGTTGCAAGTTCCCGTGCTGACGATTTGTGGTCGTTTGAGTGAGCAAAAAGTGCGTTCCTATTCTGGGGCGCGGTGCGGCATGGGTTCACGGGTACGCCGGTACATCCAAAAGTAAATCCAAAGTGGCCGCAATTATTTGTTGATATGGTATGCGGTGTTGCGTCTGTCCCGGCCGCGTGGCCGATAATTGGGGGGGTGATGGGGGGGTGAAGTGTCGAAAGATAACATCCAATCGGCAGGACTGTGAGACACGATAGCTTGCACCACGTATGGTGTTGTTGATGTGGACCTTGATTTTGCCCTGGGGTTTATCGGGACCTACGGACGGGAACCAGTAATGAAATGCGTCAGATTGACAGTCTAGCTAACAGCTGTAAGCTGTAAGGAAAGGGGGGCGATTGGAGTGCAGCGCTGGTGTCTTTGATACAAGACCTTTGACATTGCCGCCAGTGCTTGTCCGTAAGCGCTTGTCTCGTAGGCGGGGTAGGTGTGCAGGACCGCCGGTGTTGCCGCCGGGCTATGTCCCGGAGGTTACAAACCTCCGACGAATCGAATGACAAAACAGGCTGTGTCCGAACAAAAACATGCCTCATGAGTGGGGGAATGTGCAGGACCGCCGGCATTGCCACCAGGCTATGTCCCGGATGTTGAGAAATCTGACAAAGCGACTGGAGACAACAGGCTGTGTCGAAGAGACGCATGCCTTGTGGATGGGGTAAGTGGGCGGGACCGCTGGCATTGCTGCCGGGCTGTGTCCCAGAGGCCAGAACTTCTGACTTGTCGGAAGTGAGAGAGAGCACCGGCGCTCCCGCCAGGCTGTGCCCAGAAAGCGCTTGCCACGTAGGTGGGGTCGTTGCGCAGGACCGCCGGCGTTGCCGCCGAGCTGTGTCCCAGAAAACCCGGTGCCCCTGATAATGAAGCCGTGGGGATAATCAAGTTCTCCAAAAGAATACGCCGCCCCAACGTCACGCTTGGCACGCCGCCCCAGCGACACACTAGGCAAAACGCCGCCCCCACGACACGCTTGAGTCCACACTCACAGGAAAAGGGGGGGAACTTCATTATCCAGGGTTCTCGGTTGACAGAGTTCACCACGGAACGAATGAAGGAAAGGCTCTTGGCAATTCCGCCAGTCTGTATCCAGTAGGCGCTGGCCTCGTACATGGAGTCAACGTGCAGGACCGACGGCGTTGTCGCCGCGCGATGTCCCGGAGGTTAAGCCCTCCGAAATCAAATGCGCAGGACTGGCGGCCTTGCCGCCAGGAAGCGTCCTTGAGCCAACAGCCTCGCGACGGAGGTTGGCGCGAATAGTCTGTGGGCGCACGATGGCCCGCACTGCCGCCAGCCAGCGTCTCAAAGAGGACGAACCTTGGTAACGGTCCCACGTGGAAGGTTGCAGGACCGCCGGCCTTGCCGCCGGGCAACGTCCTTGAGGCGTCTGCCTCGCGAGGGGGGCAAGCGCGCAGATTCGGCAGATGCACGCAGCCTGGCGTGACCGCCAGGCAGTGCCCACAGGAAACGAGGTGCGAGGACCAGGGAGAATTTGAGCGTGCAGGACCGCCCGCCTTGCCGCCAGTCTGCGTCCTTGAGGCAACAGCCTCGCGACGGGGGCAGGCGCGCGGATTCGGCAGATGCACGCAACCTGGCGTGACCGCCAGGCAGTGCCCACAGGAAACGAGGTGCGAGGACCAGGGAGAATTGAGCGTACATGACCGCCCGCCTTGCCGCCAGTCTGCGTCCTTGAGGCAACAGCCTCGCGACGGGGGCAGGCGCGCATAATCTGCGGACGCACGGTGGCTGGCATTGCCGCCAGCTGGCGTCTCAAAGAGGACGAACCTTGCTAACGGTCCGACGTGGAAGGGTGCAAGACCGCCGGCTTTGCCGCTGGGCAGCGTCTTTGAGGCGTCTGCCTTGCGACGGGGGCAGGCGGGCAGACCTCAGCAGATGCACGCAGCCTGGCGTGACCGCCAGGCAGTGCCCTCAGGAAGCGCGGTGCGAGGACCAGGGAGAATTGATCGTGCACGACTGCCGGCCTGGCCGCCAGGCTGTGTCCGTGAATCAACAGCCTCGCGACAGGGGTAGGCGTGCAGAATCTGCGGGCGCACGATGGCTGGTACCACCGCCAGCTGGCGTCTCAAATAGGACGAACCTTAGTAACGGTCCGGCGCGAGAGTGCGCAGGACCGCCGGCCTTGCCGCCGTTCTGCGTCTTTGACTAGCGACGTGGGCAGAAGCGCATGCCCAGCGATGTATGTACGCAACCTGTCGTTGCCGCCAGGCGTGGTGCGAGAACCAGGGAGAAGTGGGCGTGCAGGACCGCCAGCCTTGCCGCCGTGCTGCATCCTTGAGGCGACTGCCTCGCGACGAAGGCAAACGCGCTGAATCTGCGGATGCACGATCGATGGCATTGCCGCCCTTGCCTCAGTCACTAGAGGCGGGTGCCCGACACTGTCCATCGACACGGTTGAGCATCCAAGTCCGTGCGGCCCTGCCTCTCTGGAAAAGGCCGTGCTCGCCCTGATTGTGAGGACAAAAAGTCCTAGGCCATTGTCGCCCGGCCATTCACTGGATAATAGGCTGCCCGCGGGTGCTTTTCGAGGCTAAGGACATCTGAGTGGCGCCGCGTGCGTCCCTTGGGTTTTTCCCCATACCCAGTATCGAATGGCGTCGGCACGGGGAGGAGGAGGAGGAGGAGGAGGAGGAGGAGGAGGAGGAGGAGGAGGAGGAGGAGGAGGAGGAGGAGGAGGAGGAGGAGGAGGAGGATAGAGGGAGGGAGGGAGACGGGAGGACGAGGACGGGAGGGACGGAGGGGAGGACCAGCGGAGGACGAGGAGGACGAGGAAAACGGGGAGGGGAAGGGCGTACTAGGTAGCGGGAGGAGGACGGGGAGGGGACGAGGTGGACGAGGAGGAAGAACAAGAGGACGAAGAGGACGAGAAGGAGGACGAGCAGGAGGAGAAGGACTCGTAGTAGTAGTGGTGGTAATAGTGGTAATAGTGGTAGTGGTAATCGTAGTAATTGTAGAAGAGCAGTGGTAGAAGTCGTAGCGTTAGTAGTAACAGTCGTGGAAATAGTGGAAGTAGTAGTAGTAGTAGTAGTAGTAGTAGTAGTAGTAGTAGTAGTAGTAGTAGTAGTAGTAGTACTAGTAGTACTCGTAGTACTCGTAGTAGTAGTAGTAGTAGTAGCAGTAGTAGTAGTAGTAGTAGTAGTAGTAGTAGTAGTAGTAGTAGTAGTAATAGCAGTAGAAGTTGTAGTGGTAGTGGTAGTAGTAGTAGTAGTAGTAGTAGTAGTAGTCGTACTCGTAGTAGTAGTAGTAGTAGTAGTCGTCGTCGTAGTAGTAGTAGTAGTAGTAGTAATAGTAGTAGTAGTAGTAGTAGTAGTAGTAGTAGTTGGGGTGGTATTAATCCTAGTTGGGGTGGTCGTAGTGGTAGTAGTCGTCGTTGTAGTCGTAGTTGTAGTCGTAGTTGTAGTCGCCGTTGCCCTAGTAGTCGTAGTAGTAGTAGTAGTAATACTAATAATCGTAGTCGTAGTATCAGTAGTAAAAGTAGTAGCGACAGTAGGAGAAGTAATAGCATGGGTAGTAGAGGTAGTAGTTGTAGCTGTAGTTGCCGTAGTAGTAGTCGTAGTAGTAGTAGTAGTAGTAGCAGAAGTCGTAGTAGTAGTAGTAATAGTAGTAGTAGTTTTACTCGTAGTAGTGGTACTCGTCGTCGTAATCGCATTTGTATTCGCAGTGGAAGTAATAGAAGGCGAGATTTTCGTAGTAATACTACGAGTAGTACTAGTAGTACTAGTAGTACTAGTAGTAGTACTAGTAGTAGTAGTAGTAGTAGTAGTAGTAGTAGTAGTAGTAGTAGTAATAGTAGCAGTAGTAGTAGCAGTAGCAGTAGCAGTAGTAGCAGTAGTAGTAGTAGTAGTCTTAGTAGTACTCGTAGTAGTACTCGTAGTAGTAGTAGTAGTAGTAGTAGTAGTAGTCGTCGTCGTAGTAGTAGTAGTAGTCGTAGTCGTAGTCGTAGTCGTAGTGCTAATAGTAGTAGTAGTAATAGTAGTAGTAGTAGTAGTAGTAGTAGTAGTAGTAGTAGTAGTAGTGGTAATAGTGTAGTAGTGGTAGTAGTTGTAGTAGTAGCAATAGTAGTCGTAGTAGTTGTAGTAGTCGTAGTAGTAGTAGTAGTAGTAGTAGTAGTAGTAGTAGTCGTAGTAATAGTTGCATCAGTAGTAGTAGT